TGGCATTACAGCTCACAGCAACCTCCAACTCCTGGGCTCCTTGTTAGTCATGAAAAGAGTCTTCTGCCTCTGCCTCCCAAGTCACTGGGACCACAGGCCCCCGCCACAATGCCTGGCTATTTTTTTGGTTGCAGCCGTCATTGTTGTTTGGCAGGCCCAGGCTGGATTTGAACCCGCCACCTTAGGTGTATGTGGCTGGTACCTTAGCCACTTGAGCCATAGGCGCCGAGCCAAAACTGCTCTATTTCAAACACACCAAAAGACTAGATGCAGAGGACTGAGTGCTTTGACTAGGCTTTACATTTCCTTGTGGAGAAGAAAATTGGTCACATCAGGATAGGACAATCTCTGTAACCTTCTCAACCTCCCCCCATTCCTCCTCCAATTACTTACAAAGATCCATAATGTGGTTCCTGCAGATGGCACAGTTATCAACCACAATATCCCAGGCCCAGAGGGCTACTGCATTCCACTGCAAAGACAAAAAGGGGAAACAATGCATTCTCCATGTAATATAACATACACGCTCTCCTTAGGTTTTCCTCCTGCAGCTGCAGTTATCATCTCTTTGGCCATGGGGACCACCAAACAAAAGTTCTGAGATATTACATTACTCTTAATTATTATATTGGAGGACAATAATAGGCTACATCAGGAGTCCTCAAACTTTTTAAACAGGGGGCTAGTTTAGTGTCCCGCAGACCATTGGAGGGCCAGACTGCAGGCCCGGGACAAGTCAGCTGCTAAGCAGGGCAGGCAGCAGCCACCTGGTGAGCCAGATAAATGTCCTAGGTGGGCTACATGTGGCCCACGAGCCATAGTTTGAGGATGCCTAGGCTACATGTATGCTCTCCCATTCTCCCAAAGGGCGAGTATATGAACACAGAAATTAATGAGCCATCTTTCAGTTTTATTTTTTTTCCTACAGCTTAAAATACTTTAGCCATATCCATGTATGCAAATTAGGAATAACTTTTAAGTGCCTGTTTTAGGTTTAATAAGCACAAACTTGAATAACTGTGCAGGTTTCCCTGGCAGTTGCTGAAGAGCTCAAAATCTGCATAAATAACTATTTGCTTTTCGAGTCAGTTTTGGAAGCAAGAGCGGGGAGGTGCCCTAGACAAAGGATCCAAGAGAGACTTTGCCAGAAGCTCTGGTGCTTTTTTACTGCGTCTGTATTCCTTTCTGTCTAAAATCCTATCTTACCACTGGGGGGGGGGGGAAGGCAGGGAGGTGAAAGCTAAGGAAGAGAACGAATTAAGATGATGATTGGATCACAGAATGGGTAATCGCTGGTAAGCTGGATAACTACCCACTGTCAGTACACAGAACAAGGTCATCACTTGAATCTAACATTACTTCACAACAAATTCTAGAATTCACGAGAATTTTAGTTCTCATCATCAAATAAACTAATGTTCTCAACTCTTATATGCACTTACTCCTATATTCAGTTAAGATAATTCCCATTAGAGTCTTTGAAAAGTGGTGTTCAAGTAATTAAACTCTCTGGCTTCTGCAATTATAAATAATCCTATCTCTCCTTTAATTCACTAATTTGGTGCCACTCTCCATACCTTCATCCCTTTCAAACCTAATTCTCAATGCTTAGTAACTTCTTCAGCACTTTTCACACCACAGATTCAACTTGCAAAAACCCTACTTCTATTATTCTTCAACATGGCTGCTGGCTGTAATTGAGCAGCAGTGGCCACAATGAGCCGCCAAAAGACACTGGGAGGGGGAATATTGTCAGTGTTCAGCTACATGTTCCAGGAATAACAGCCTCCCTATTTCAGAATCTTCATTTTGAAGATTCCATTTTAGTTGGGAACTGACTTCCCTTCCAAACTGTTGGCAAAGAACTAAAAGGCATTTCAAGCAAAAAGACATGTTTTTGCTTTCTCATTCTTTTTTTTTTTTTTAAACTGGTTAACATAGCCTTCATGTAACTGCTTTCTCATTCTTAACCAAGTCATTTGCAGCTAGTACTCAACCCTCTCTAAATGTCACAAGATTTGGGCTCTCATTTTCTTTTTCATAAATTCCACCATGCTCTGGATTTTCTTGGAAGGAGAAGATTCTGGATGTGACAGAGACCACAGGACTGGGGTGGCTGTGTGACAAGCCACTAGACGTCTCGGAAAAGCCAAGCATTACATTCGAGACTCCAGAAGTCGGCAGAGTGAGGGGCAGCCAGAGAAGGGACTAATGGAGGCCTTGATTCAGCAAGGACCAGGGTCCTTCAGAGTCAGAGGACCCCAAGCTTCAGAAGGGGGCGGGGCAAGATTAGCAGCCCGGCTCCTTAGAGGCCTCCAATGCGGTAGGACCTCAGGTTCCCGGCTTTTGCCGTATTGCCCCATCCTCCACCACCGCAGTCCATCCGACTCCCCATTCCAGTCACCCCACCCTGTCCTCCCCCCACCCTCCAACCATTCCAGTGACATCTCAAGCGCTAGTTGCATCCCGCGTATCTCAATAAGCACCTCTGTGATTGGCTCCTCAGCATTACAGCGACACTATCACTACCCTCGAGAGAGGGCCGCCGTCACGCCCATCAACGCTAAGACCTGCCCCCCCAGCTTCCTTTCGTGGTACCCGGTCCCAAGAACGCCTTGAAATGAAGCCCCTTCCTATGCGCCTTGGTCAGACTCGGGCCTGCCAGCCAGGCCTGCTCCTCTCTAGCTTCCCTGAGGAAGACGCTGGCGAGACCCAACCTTTTTTACTTCAAAGCGCTTCTTGCCCGCGCCGCTGTTGGTGCCGCTCGGGGTATCCACATCCATCGCTGCCGCCATTTTGGAAACACACGGTCCGTCGTCTGGCCACTGAGCCTGCGCAGCAGCGCACGCCTCCCTACCCCCCACAGCCTGGCGCCTCCTTCCGCACCCCCACCCTCAGGCGCGCTGGGGCAGGGCGGAGCACGTGACCACGCCTCTTAAAGGCGCTGGCGCAGGTTCCGCCCGCCGGTCCTCGCGCGAGTCAGCAGGGGAGGAGGCAGTGGCCCTAGTGGCTGGGGCGGGGCCGGAGCGACGTGAGTGAGCAGGGTGGAAACATTCCAAAGGGGTCGCTCTCCTTCCTCCCCTGGAAAGCCCCCGGCTGCACTCCCTCAATTGGGGCGGCGGCCGCTTCCTCCGCCTCGGCCCCAGCCCCGGCTTGCCGCGGGTTCCTGTCCCCGCTGTCCGGCCGGCAGGATCTGGCCGCCGCTTCTGGTGCCGGGGGTGGAAGGGGCGAGGGTGGGCGCCCGGCTTCCTGCTGCCGAAACCCGAGACCTCAGACTGGCCTTTCGCACAACCTGAGCTGCTTCCGAGCCGGGCCCGAGGTGCAGTCACCCAGGAAGGCCTGAGGCTAGGGACCCAAGCGCCGTCCGCTTTCCTGACTTCAGCTCAGAAAATGCTCCGGGGAGAGATGAAACCCCCCGAATGTCCTCCTTAAGACAAAACTGAGCAGGCATTCCCTTCACCTGCCCACGGGAAATAGATGGAACAAACAGGCTTAGGAGCTTGGGCAATGCCGTCTCCCGCCCCCAGTAATACCAGTGCGTCCTAGAATGGCCTTTGGTTAAGGTACAAGATTTTAATTTAACATGTTTGAGTGCTCATTATCCACTCCATGACTGGTAATCTGTATAGGGTCCTTCTTAATTTCTGCCCTCTTTCTACTCTTCACGCTATAGTCAAACTGACCCATCTGCAGTCGCGTGTTTCTTGAATTAGTTGTGAGGCATTCTGACATTCTCACTGCTTTCAAAGCACCGGCACTTGATGTCACTTTCCTATTTCTAGCTAGACTAGGCCTGCCTTGTACATCTCTAACCTTGCAGAGGCATGACTCCTCTAGATCACTCTTAGTTCTTTTCTAGGTTTATTTGAAATCTCAAATTTTCTTTTAAAAGATAACTGGAGAATAATGGAGAGAATGTTGTCTCCATTGCAAAACCAAAATTGCGATTTGTTTCCTTGTTAGTCATGAAAAGGAAAAACAAATTCGTGAAAACAGCACCCCGGCTTTAACCACATTTGTAAAGAGAAAAATTGTGAGATAGTTAAGGATTATAGGCACTCTGCAAAGTCTTTCTTACCCTGAGTTGTTTTTTTTTTTTTTTTTTTTTGAGACAGAGCCTCAAGCTGTCGCCCTAGGTAGAATGCGGTAGCATCACAGCTCACAGCAACGTCCAATGCCTAGGCTGAAGGGATCCGTTTGCCAGCCTCCCAAGTAGCTGGGACCACAAGCGCTCACCACAACGCCTGGCTATTTTTGGGTTGTAGTTGTCCTTGTTGTTTGGCAGGCCCAGGCTGGATTCGAACCCGCCAGGTCTGGTGTTTATGGCTGGTGCCTTAGCCACTTGAGCTACAGGTGCTGAGCCTGAGTTTTAATGTCGTTAATTTATTGTGTGCTTACAAGCTCCTAGAGGAATTCTAGAAACCCATAGCAAATTAAATTATTGAGGACATATATCCGTCATTCAACAAATGTATTGAGTATGTACCAGATCCTATTTTAAGAGAGAGAGACATAATGATGAAGGAGACAAACAAACTCCTAATAGGTAAATAAACACAAGTTATCAAATAAATACATCAGGAATCCCCAGTCATGAACACTTGTTATGGAGAAACAAAAGAAGGTAATGAGATTGAGGGGATGAGGAGACAGCCTTCAACTGGGGGATTAGGTAAGGCCCCTGGGAGGAGTGACATTTAGGATGAAAAGCCTAGGTTGAAAAGATAATTCATGGCTTGCTGCCTGTGGCTCAAGTGGCTAAGGCACCAGCCACATACACCTAAGGTGGTGGGTTTGAATCCAGCCCAGGCCTGCTAAACAACAATGATGGCTACAACCAAAAAATACTTACTTTGTTGCCCTCAGTGGAGTCTTGTGGTGTCACAGCTCAGAGAAACTTCAAACTCTTGGGCTCAAGCTATTCTCTTGCCTCAGCCTCCGGAGAAGCTGGAACAACCCCAACAATAGCTGGCTATTTTTAGACATGGAGATCTTGCTCTGGTTCAAGTTGGTCTTCCACCTGGGAGTTCAGGTAATCCACCTGCCTTGGCCTCCCAGAGTGCTAGGACTATAGGCATGAGCCACCGCGCCTAGCTCAATCTGCCTTCAGTCCTCTTCTTCCTCTTGTCCACATGCTAATATGGTTTTCTTTTAAAATTTTTACTGTAGTAAAATATACATAACATTTCCAAATCGTAGCCAATTTCCAGTGCATAGTTCAGTGTCATTTAAGTACATTTGTATAGTTGTGCCACCATCTCCATCTGTCTCCAGATCTCTTTTCATCGGACTCTACTAACCTCAAGGATGTGAGTTGCCTGAACCACGCTTTTTTGTTGTCAGAAGAGAACATTCTACTCCCTATTTTTTTCTTTTCTGAGACGGAGTCTCAAGCTGTTACCATGGGTAGAGTGCGATGGCATCACAGCTCACAGCAACCTCTAACTCTTGGGTTTAAGCAATTCTCTTGCCTAGGCCTCCCGAGTAGCTGGAACTACAGGGACCCACCACAGCGCCCAGCTATTTTGTGGTTGTATTTGTCATTGTTGTTTGGCAGGCCTGGTCTGGATTCGAACCCCCCAGCTCTGGTGTATGTGGCTGGCGTCTTAGCCACTTGAGCTACAGGCACCGAGCCTATGCCTCAGGTTTTAAAGATGGTTCCTAATAGGAAGAGAAGGCTAACTTACAATTCCTTTTATGGCTCACTGACAAAGTTCAAATATTCACAATTTTACAAATTAGTCCTACTTCCCCACAAAAGTCCATCCTTCATAAAATGCTCATGCTATAGCCTCCAGTTACAGGGGCTATCTGGTGACATATGGGTCCATTTAACCTTCCTTCAGGTTTTCCCAGTTTACAACACACAAAATCGTCTCAAGTTTGCTGTCATGGTTTTGTGACAGTAGTTAATGAACCCTTTGTAAAATATTTTATACAAGAAAATGTTCTCATGTTCAAACCTGTAAACTCTAGATCCGAAAATAACACACACCATATACATCTGTATTGGTTTATAGTTTATTTTAAAATGCCAGTAACAAAGGCTTTTCCCTTGTTGGGGAATAATGTATCTATTTTCAGTGAATAGTAATACCTTAAAAAGTAACAGCATTTTGTCCAAATTGAACTTATACGATTGCACAAAAGTCATTAAGCATTAAGAAATGCTACCAAACACTAGTTTCCTCAGGCCCTCATGGAGCATATCCCAAGATGATTCCAGTGGGGACCTCTGATCTGAACAATACTGATGCTCTAATGCAGTGACACATAGGCAGAGACAACCAGGAGAACCCACGTGGTTTGTAACAAAGGAATTCTGCTCTGCAGTTAGGGTTTATCAGTGCATCCATTTTCTCCTTACTCTAGGAGCATTAAAAACACCTTGGCTTATAAGATGCACAGGCTTAACCATTATCCTACTAGCTTAAGTTATGAGCTTCGGTCTTGCTTCAGGAAAATTAACATTTTAAAAAGCGAGCCATACCCTAAAAACCTCTTCTTAAGCAGGGTTCTTTATACTGCCACCATCTGTGGATTTTATGTATCTTTTTTTTTGTCAAGACAGAGTTCCACCCTGTGCCCTGAGCAGAGGGCAGTGGCGTCGGAGCTCACTGCAACCTCAGACTCCGGCTGAGGGCATCCTGCTGCCTCAGCCTCGGAAGCTGCTGGGATTACAGGCGCTCACCACGGCGCCCAGCTGGGTTTTTCCATTTTTTTAATGAGTCAGGGTCTCACTTTCGCTCAGACGAGTCTCGAACTCCTGAGCTCCAGCAATCCTCCCTCCTCAGCCTCCCATAGTGCTGGGATTACAGGCGTGAGCCACCGCGCCCGGCGATTTTATGTATTTTGTAATGCATACACAAACAGGTTACATTATTATCTATCACATATACCAGTTGGGGAATGGGGCATAGTTTCTAACTCAAATTCTGTTTGGGGGCAGCAACATGGCTACAAAGGATGCTCAGGTCACAGCTGGACTGGTGCAATGGCTCACTCTGCTTTACTTGTAACCTCTGACATGGGCACAGCAGAGGGAGAGGCAGCACTCACCCTTCATGTATGCAGTCTTCATAGTATTACCAAAAGGGAGGGAGGGGTAAGGCATAGATATTGTGGAAAATATAACAAAGCTGAATTTTTCTATTTTAGAGAGTTAGTATATTTTTACCTGGAGATTTAACTGGTTTTATCTCAATTAAGATATAACTTCTATGGTTGAGGGTTTCTCCTATCTTACCTTACAAAAATGAGAGAAAAAAAACCACAAAGTTTCGAAAGATGCATAGAGAGTGGCGCCTGTTGCTAAGCTGGTAGGGCACTGGCCCCATATACTGAGGGTGGCAGGTTCAAACCTGGTCCTAGCCAAACTGCAACAAAAAAATAGCCAGGGGTTTGGCAGGCACCTATAGTCCCAGTTAATTGGGAGGCTGAGGCAAGAGAATTGCCTAAGCCCAAGTGCTGGAGGTTGCTGTGAACTGTGATGCCACAGCATTCTACCGAGGGTGATAAAGTGAGACTCTGTCTCTAAAAAGATGCATATAGAATACTTTAAGTTACCATTAGAAGTACTTTCCTAGCTTGGATACTATGATTATGAGAAGAGGAGAGCTCTTACTTCAGTATTTCTACTGTTGTGTTTAAAATAAAAAACACAGCTCCAGCTTCCTGAATATGGGAAAAAAATAGTAATTCCTGAAATAAAAGTATGTGACATTGGCTATCTAGATATGCTTTCTTCATTTAGATAGGATTGTTAATGATCCAAACCTATCTTCAGGTCAGGGAGGAAATTCCAGTGGGAAAATTTGAATAATTTTTTTTCTTTTTTTTTTTTTTTGAGGCAGAGTCTCACTATGTTGCTCTCAGTAGAGTGCTACTGTGTCATAGCTCACAGCAATCTCAAACTCTGGGGCTTAAGTGATTCTCTTGCCTCAGCCTCCCAAGTAGCTGGGACTACAGGTGCCGCCACAATGTGTAGATATTTCACAATCATATCACATTTTCCCAATTATATCACAATGCTCAGTGTGAAACTCTACAAAAAAAATATAATAATAAAGATAAAAACTTCTATGTATCATAGAAGCTCCTGAATTAACCATCTGCACTAATCTAGCCCTGCTCACCTTGCAAACAGAGTTGTATAACTGCATCCCATGCTGTGTTTAGAGAAATATGCCGCTTTACCATTGCCCTTCCAGTGCTAACACAGAAAGACAGGATTATAGAATGTTTACATGTACTCAACGGATTCCATATATATATATATATATATATATATGTATTTTTTTTTTTTTTTTT